AACCAGACATTGGTGTTTAAGTACTAAAATCTGAACTAGTAAGTTTAGGTAAAGGACATAAGAAATAGGTGCCTTCTGAAATGACATTTTTATTTTTAAAGATATGGACTCTTTAACCTAAAAACAAATTGTAGATTTAAAACTCCAATTTTAGAAATTTAAAAGTAAAAATTATTTTTTACTAATTTTTAATATTAAAATACTTTAATATTCAAATATAGTATGAATTCCTTTTTCCTAAAATCAGACTTTATTTGAACAGAAATGTATAATATCAAAAAAATAAGCATTTTTCCAATTAGAAATAATATATACTTGATGAGTACATAATTGTTTTGAATAAAGTCATCTAATTTTAGACAAATTTGGAATATATATACTTATACTGTAGATCATAATATGGACAAACTGTACTTTTATGCTGCTTTAACTGAAGTATAAAAATTTTTACCATTACAAATCTACAGATTAAAATACATCTTTTAGGCAATGAAGGCTTTGATGAAAATGTGTATATACACGAAAGAGGTGAATATAGGGGAGATGTGTCTGAAAAACAACATCAACAATACCTGAAGACAGTTACAGTCAAACTACAAATAAAGTTACATGTAAGAATGCTTCTTAATAAATATTTTCCTGCCCTAATTTCCCTTGGAATCCTTTCCTTTTAAACAATACTGGATAATCATAAAGCAAAACCTCACCATATACCGTATTTGCCGGCGTATAAGACGATTTTTTGGCCCTGAAAAATATGCCTCCAAGTGGNCTGTATGTACAGTATGTATGAAAAACTTAATTATAAACACTTTCACATTAATATGTGTTTACATATGTTCAATCATATTTTTGGTTACTTGTACAGCACAATCAAATACTGTACAGAAATACATTCTGTACATTCATAAAAGTAGGGTAAAATGACTTATCCACCGGCTACCACTGGCACTTACCTACTCAAAATGAAGTAAGGGATGCAGAAAGATTACAGGACCAGTGGCCAACAGGGAAATACAGTAGAAAGGCAAAGTAAGGGTTACTATATAGCATAGCTACTCTCAAAACTGTTGAAGAGGATGCATATTTCATAACACTTTCCAAAAGATAAATGGGGAGTACCTATTTGCAACAATGACATATAATCAAACTACAAATGAGGAAATATTATATAGCTATCAGATAATAGCCTTTTTTCACCTTACCAGTAACCTCTCCCAATAGCAAAACAAAATATTGGAATTTATAATTTTTTACAGTATAACCACAAATTTGTAAAACAAGACATCAAACTCAAAACTTTAAAAATGATAAACCAACTAAAATACATCCAAGCATTAAAAATCTATTTT